AAAAGACTTCATCTGGAGGTGAAACCAGTGTGGATGAGTCAGGAGGCAGCAGCTTGGATTTGGAAGGATGTTCGGAAAAGAGGAGGAAGAGGAAGGACAGGTGCAGCTCTCCATAAAAGAGGGGGTGAGTGTGCATGTGTTTCCAAAGAATAGGAAAGACTTCCTTTAAGAGGCAGAAACCTTGAGCTAAACCAGACTTTTCTTTTAAGATGTATATATTTTTATGGGGCCACTTTGCCTTTATAGGACAGCTGAAGAGAGACGGGACATTTTGGGAAGAGAGGGGGAGGGGGGGGCTGACATGCAACAAAGGGCCGAGGTCAGACCTGAACCCAGAGCTGCTCCAACGAGGACCACAGCCTCAACACAACCGCCAGGCTACCCAAAACCAGACCAGATGTTGACTGTTATCTTCTCCTCTATCGCCTCCCGGTGGTGGAATGAACTTCCAAACTCCATTCAATCTGCAGAGTCCCTCTGCACCTTTAAGAAAAAGCTAAAGACCCAGCTCTTTCATGAATACCTACTAACTTAATGATGATGGTCTCCATATTATTGATGATGATGATGGTAATGACGATGGTTTTTGTTTGATAACGGCGACTTATAAGATGGTTTCTATACTGATTAGAGCTCTCAAGAACTGCCCTCAATGTTGTGCTTTGCCTCTGGTCACTTCCTGTCAGCACCTGTGTGTCCAATCAGACTCAAAGCTGATCGTTTGCTCTTACTGACATTGTTCCCTTTTTTCTAGATCCTTGCTTGTGTTGTTCTTACTCTCTGATGTACATCGCTTTGGATAAAAGCGTCTGCTAAGTGAATTGTAGAATTGTTACCTACAACTTTCTACCCAAACGTTCAATAATTTGTGGGGCAACAACGAATGGAGACTCTGACTCCAATCCTCGGGGGGGAAATTGTTCCCAAAAATCAGCCTGCATCATCTTGTACTGTGTAACCCGCTTTAGAGAAACGTTAATGGAAAAAGAGAACTCTGAGGTCATGTGCTGCTGATGAAACAGCGTTCTGGGAACAAGAGTGGGCTGTAAGTGATGACTGTCCCGCGTCAGGTCTGAACTCCAGGGAGCAAAAAAACATGAACCTGCAGATTCAGAACATAATGACAGATTCTATCCAGCATCCCACCAGCCGCACTTTGAGGGTGTGTTGAAAAGAAGAGAGCGTGCAGTTTTTCCTCTTGCCTTACATATGCTCTGTCATCATTCTGTGAAAAATCCATCCAGACCTGTTCTTCAGGCGGGACAGCGGTGAGGTGTGTGGCTTGTAAATGGGTTTTTTAGGCCGAGACGGGGGAGGGTATTTTAGTTTGGTGTATGTTTATAGTTTATTCCCGCCCTGCCAGCACTCTGATCCGTCATTGTTTACAGAGGAAGAAGATGGATGTGCGAGCGGCATGAAGGGTAATGGTGTGAGGTGAAGCAAGAGGGTGCAGGCCCTCCCTCATGGGGCACCACTGAGAGGTCCTGACCCCTGCTGTTGAGACTGCACAGATGTACGGCTGCTCCTTTGTTTTGTTTGTGGAAGAGCAGGGAGTCCTTCATATTTTAGTTTCATCCTGTTTGCTGGAAGGCCATGTTTACACCACAACGATTTCAGAAGAAGATTGGGAACTTGTTTTCACGACAACTTTGGTACCTGAAAATGGAAAACGTAACATCTCGGTTGTCTTGAAAACTGACAATATGCCGTTCCTCTGAAAAAAATGCATCACCGTTCCTGACACCAAAAAATGAATTAAAAACATTGTCTGAGCTGTCCCCCCCCCCTCCTCTCTAGAGACGATTCTCATGCAGGTCACCATGTGGTGGACTCTGAAGCTTCAGTGTTTATCCAGCTCTGCATGGGTCTGTAAACCTTTCTGTGTTCTAACCTCTCTCCATTTTTCAAAAGCATCTCCAATATTGATCCTAGTTTGAGCACGTTTCTGCTCGTGGAGCTTATTAGAAACATGCAGAGGCTTTTTAGGTCGGGTACAATCACTTCTATCTGAACCACTTCTCTTGCCCGCTTCCATCGCTGCAACACCTGTTGACCTGATAACTGCTCTCATATCTGACAAACTGAGGGGCGTCCAAAACGGCCTTGTGGGGGTCGCCTTAAAACCACCTACCTTCTCTGGTCCAAACAAATCCAGAGCATTCAGGAGCAGAATCTAAAGTCAGAAGGAGGACATACTGGCTGCTGCATTGTTGTCAGAGAAGCCAGCACTTCAACATAGCATGTTTCCTTAATGTCTGATCAGATGTCTGATCATCAGGTCAGAACCAATCAGGTGCGTGCTGAGAGTCAGACCTCTCGGTGGTCCAGACTGATCAATAGTTCTAAACAAAAAGCTTAGCACTCCCTCAAAGTTGAACCTGACGCCCACCTTCATCCTCTCCTTGACTCGCTCTCGAGTGTTTTCTCAACAAACACTTCAGCTCAGGTCAGCTTTAAACACTGCTCCGTGTGTTCACAGCAGCTTGACATTTCAACCAACCTGCAGTTCCTGTCTCTGTCTCTCTCCTGCAACTCTGTGCTTTGTGTTCCTGCTTTCATTTCTGCATTTACAAAGAATTCAATTAAAAAACCGGGACTGATGCCTGGGAATACAAATGTGTCCCTTTTTAAAAGTTCTTTCCAGGCTGTGCGCACACACACTCACACAGCATTTCACAGAGGGAGAAAACAGTCAACAGGGAGCATTGGAAACTACCGTCTGAATATTTAGTGTTTTTTCTGCCTCTATTAGTTTGATGTCGGTTTATTTTGAAGAGACGCTGCCATGCCTTCCTGTAAGAGTTTGGATACTGATACGGGGTAGAGTTTGTCGTCTCTCAATCGGAAGGTGGTCGGGGGTTGTCCCACATGTTCGATGTGAAACTTAACCTCAAGTTGATCCCGCTGCTTCATCGTTTCAAAAGTGCTGTGAGAGGTCAGAAGACGAGAAATACAAACTGAAGTCGATTTACCATTTACTATGATTCAAGTTTCAATATCATCAGTCCCTCCAGGGAGTTGTTAGGTAGCAATCCCAATGGCAACCCCGACCCCTAGGACACGGACTCATCATGTGTATGGTATGATCGAGTCAGATGTCTTTTCATAGACGAAATCATTGCTGTGTCTTTATTTATAAAGCTTTACTCAACCTGCTTTCCTCATACTTGTGTAATTGTTTACATGTCAAAAGCGCTGGAAGCCACCGTCTTCGCTCTGCAAGCTTATGTTTGTGATCTGGTCCCAAAGAGCGTCTTGAAATGGGGAAGAGAAGTTTCAGGTTCGCTGCTCCTGCGGCCTGGAAATCTCCTGCAGAAGGATCTGTGTCTCTTCAAATCTTTTAAAAAGTAGATTGAAGGTGTTTGAGGACGATGCTTCTGGTTGCAGATGCTTTGAATGTTGACTTTTCTGCTCTGTGACTCAGGACACGGGCTCTGTGTTTTATATCTGTAACTTGTTGATTATGCTGCTGCATGTCTTCAACAGGACACTCTTGTTACAGAGAATCTAAATCTCAATGAGGTTCCTCCTGGTTAAATACATGAAAAAAAATGCAGTTGCAATTTTGTTAAATCACCGCAACTTTAAAAGAATATGATTTATTTGGATTTTTTTAAGCCTTTATTTTAGAGGACAGTAGACAAAGTCGGAAGGTTTGTATGTCGGTCTCAAACTCCTGCTTAGAGCAATATGGCCTCTGTACATGTGGGGCGCGACCTAACCACGAGGCCACTGGCACCCTACCTTTTTCGGCAAGTTTGACTAGCCAATCATCAGTCATTCAAAAAACCCTCCTCCCCTCTCCTCTCCTCTCCTCTCCTCTCCTCTCCTCTCCTCTCCTCTCCTCTCCTCTCCTCCCCTCGCCTCCCCTCTCCTCTCCTCTCCTCTCCTCTCCTCCCCTCGCCTCCCCTCCCTCCCCTCTCCTCTCCTCTCCTCTCCTCTCCTCTCATGTCAGTGCTTCCTCGTAGTGATGAAGCTCATTAGCGGGCTGTCTCCGTCCGCTAGAGTGTGTGTGTGTGTGTGTGTGCGTGTGTTTATATTTAGTCCTGGGGCAGTGCAGGTATAACGTGCTGCTTATTAATGAGGTGTTGAGCAGAGCTTGGATGCTGTCAGTCACACACAGAGACGCAGAGACGGTCAAGTAGCCGCCCAGCGTAGTGGTAATGCAGTCATTACTACTGAGTGTCGTCGTTTCTCAGTCGGACTCGTAAACATGCAGCTCCCTTCGTCCTAATTGAATTAGACAGTCTGCCTGTTTTTTCTCCCTCCTTAGACCTGTCAGGTTTTGTGTCTACTTTGTATGACTCACTCTTCGTAGTGCAGCTCATGAATGTGTTTGATTCTTGGAATATTATTGAGCAGCACAACTATTGCAAATGTCAGGACTCGTGCTGCGTTTCATTAACTGATGAAGCCAAAATAGCACTCTGAATAAATTATTTTATAAAGAAAACCCCACAAATGTTGTGGACTGTCCCCTGGGGAGTTCCCTGAGAACTTCACACCATGGGGGCTTTTCTCGACCTGCATTCGCACCACCATGGTATCTACTCTAGGAACTAAAATAGTTTGTTGTTCCTGCAGTGCGGAATCAATATAAAAGGGGGACGGTCTGAAAACACCTATTCTAATTTGTACAGAGACTGCACATGAGGACTTCACAGTGTTTGTGAGGGGATACAGACTTTCTCCAACGAAGACTTGACTTTTCAGATATGACAGAACTGTTCATATGTTTTTGAACTTGATCTTTTCTCAGGTAAATAATGTCTCACAGATGCTCTTAGATAACTTAAAGTGATGATTAGACGGGGAGAGAGAGAGATGTCCCAGCTTCTCTAAATCTCTCTAATGAGCCCCCTGAGGGGAAACCTCTGAGTCTTAACTTTTTAAATGACGAGCTCCTCATTTCGTCGGCGAACCATGTCAGTGTTTAACGACTTCTGAAATCCTTCCCAAGTGTCACATTAATCACGATGTCTCTTCTCTTCTCCTCTTAGAGCATCGTGGCCAAGTACGGCTCTCAGTTTCGGGGAAACTCTCAGCACGATGCCCTCGAGTTCCTCCTCTGGCTTTTGGACAGAGTTCATGAAGATGCTAATTCCAGCCTCAACAACAACGTTAGCAGCAGCAGCAGCAAGACCAAAGCCAACGCCAAGGTGAGTCCACATCGTCAAGCAGCAGCAGCAGCAGCGTCGAGCTCTGTTACTGCCTTCTCACACCCACACACACACGCACAAACACACACACACAAACACACACACAAAGCTCCTGTGTCTTTTTAGCACTCGTCTCCCTGCTTTAAACAAGTCGCTGCACAAGGACAGGGAATGAATTACAACTTTAATTACACGAGGTCCTTTAATTACATTATCCTCTGAGAGGCATTAACAGCTGTTCCCAGTTAATTAAACCCAGTTTAAAGTCAAGTGAAGTCCTAAACCATCTGAAGGTATCCTCAAAGTTCACCGGCCTCTGATGATATTTTAGCCTCTCAAAATGACAACTTTTTTTTTTTTTTTGGGCTTGCATCAGGGCTTAAGATGTTTCTTGTTTTCTCCAGGCTGTAAACCAAATGAATCAGTCGGGTCCTAGCTTTAATATCCTCGGGAAGAAAGTCAAACATTTACTAAATATGTTTTCTGCTTAGAGAGCTCAGTCAAACAAAGTGAAAATGTTGCTGTCCCAAGCCAAGCATGAGCAGCTTCCCCCACTCACCAGAACAAAGTGAGTGTGTTGAAGTGTTATATATATTTTGTTGTTGAGTACTTACATTACCTCAAATATTTAAAACAGTTATCACAGCCAGAGAATTTTATATTTGTAACAGGACGTGTCTTGTCGCGGTAGCCGGCATGACAGACACAACATGTTTATCGTTGCCAAGGTAACACCGGATGTTACGTCAAGGGTCGCTGCATAAGGAAGCGTGAGCTGTTATAAAAACCTCATGTAAATTATACTCGGATACTTTAGCTCGTCTCTTCCTCAGGTCGGTTTCACCCAGTCGTCTTGACTACAGTCAACACAGAGTTTGTTTTCACTGGGCGGAGGGATGCAGAGAGAACTCCCATGATTCCCCGCCAGCCTCGACGTCATCCTTTGTTATTGTTTTGATTTTGAGCCCCCTGGTGGTGGATTTGACATACTGTGCCTATTAATGATGACCCGTAAGAGCTAAAAATGAGCTCCTGTCAATAAGAAAATAAGACGATTGATATGAAGACGGGATGCTTTTTGTTCAGCCAGGCTTCTCTCCTCTCCCAGTTTTTATCCACTAAAGTTTCAAAGACAGGAAATCAAGCACCACCTGGCCTTTAAATAGACCGCAGAGAACCATAACCCATTGCAGAACAGTTTGTGTGTAACACTGAGAGGATTGTTTGATCGGAGCATTGCATCAGTGTGGGATACAGTTTCATAATCTACCTTGTTATGGCAGACGTCGACATCACAGGTCCACTTTCCAGCCGCCCTGCTGTGAAACGATTACGACACAAAGACACGGTTTGTTTGATTCCAGCCAGGAGATTCAAAGAACACGGCTGCTTATGAGGAGAGTTGGTGCTGCAGAGGTCTGTGTTGTTGTTGTGATTTTTTTATACCTGCGGTGGAGTTTAAATTCACTGAGCTCTGTCCTGAAATGACCCATCAGAGTTTGCAGTGATTCTCTATTTGTGAGATGTATCAGGAGAGAGCAGACTGTGTTCCCTGTCTGTCTCTCTCTCTGTCTCTCTCTCTCTCTCTCTCCCTCTCTCTCCTCTCTCTGTCTGTCTATCTCCCTCTGTCTCTCTCTCCCTCTGTCTCTCTCTCTCTCCCTCTCTCTCTCTGTCTGTCTCTCTCTCTCTTTGTCTCTCTCCATCTCTCTCCTGTCTCTGTCTGTCTATCTCCCTCTGTCTCTCTCTCTCTCTCTCTCTCTCCTCTCTCTCTCTCTCTCCCCTCTGTCTCTCCCTCTCTCTCTCTCTCTCTCTCTCTCTCTATCTGTCTTTGTCTCTGTTGTGGGATTGTCACCTTGCTTCCTTGCACTTGGAGAGAAGCCAGGATGTGGATTGATGTGTTGAGAGGGAAATGAAGGGCAGACACACTACTTGATGACTTTTTGTTATCATGACTCAAGTCGCACGCTGCCGATTGCTGAGCACAAAATGTCACTTTAAAACATCTCTGTCTTGGGCATTAAGGAGTTATTGTATTGGTTTAGAGTAGAGCCCGACCGATTTATTGACCAGCGGCCGATATTAGCTCATCCAAGTGACTATATTGTATCGGCTAATTTTATCAAAGATATTCGCTGATATTAGCGGATTTATTCACCAGACAAATCGCATTTAGTTTGAGTTTTATTGTTGCAGTTCTCTTTCTGGCTGTCACCAGCAGAGGGCGCTATATGGATTACAGCAAGCATCATCACTCTCCAGAGTGTCGAGCGGTGATGAACCTACGTGCTCAGTTACTTTCCAGTTAAGTGAGCATCTTGTCTTCAGTATAAATCTTTTCCACACGTGTTTGATACCTGCTTGACGGATCATTCCAATAAATGTGTCTATCCATCACTAAGATCGAAGACAGACCTAAGAAAGATATCGCCGATATATCGGTTTCTGAATTTTTTATCTCCCCAATATCGGTATCGGCCCCAAAAAATGTCAAATCGGTCCAGTCCTAATTTAAAGTTAACAGTTCTCCCTCAGGCGAAAATATACTACTTTGATTAAGTTATAAAAAGGAACGTGGGGCGCCGTGAAACTTAGCCTAGCGGTTAAGCTTCATTCCCCAGGTACAGAGGATATAGTCCTTGCAACGCCTGTGGGTTTGAATCCGACTTCGGCCCTTTGCTGCATGTCTTCCCCCCACTCTCTCCTCCCAGTCATTTCCTGTCTCTATTCAGCTGTCCAATAAAATCAACAATGGCCTGAAGAATGTAACTTCATAAAACAGAACTCTAAATCTGCCATGTTCTTTTGTTTTTGACATGAACTCTCTGTTTTCATTCAGCTGGGGAGTGAGGTTTGAAGATTCCTGGACCCATCAGGTCGTCTGTAAACTTTACATAACGAGTATAATAAAGTAACACCAAACACTAATTAGCCGTGTGATTGTGCTGGTGTGTGTTTGCATGCTCATTATGACATTAAATACTGGGTAAGCAGACCTCCTGTGATCATCTCCCTCTGTTACAAACCCCCTTGTGTCTAATTACGTTCACTAAGCATCCTCGTGTTCTCCCGGTCAGCGTGGAGGTTGGCAGCAGATCGGCTGGTTCTGCCTCCTGTCTGGGCCTCTCCGCGCTGCCAGCAGACGACCTCCAGTCCCGTTAGTCAAATATAAACTGTTATGAGCTGAACTGTTGCTGCGCTGCCACCCCACCGCCCCAGCAGCTCCCCTCGTCTGACAGCAGCGCTAATAGAAGCAGCCTTTATGCCACATAAACAGCTTAGGGCTGTGGCTCTCATTAGGCTGCCAGTGAATCGTGGTATCATAAAGCCGGCTTTCCTCTGCTGCTGTTAGGAGGCAGAGAAGAAGAAAATCCCTGGCATTTTCACACCAGGAGGGAACATGTCTGATTCTGTGAAATGAAAGGCTCGTCCTGCTTCCCGTTAATTGATTTTCATTCGTGAAGCTCAGCTCGCTCACGCTTCTGCTGCTGATGTCATCTGAGGACTCTGAGGGTTTGGGGTTTCGTTCCTTATAGCATCATATTGTTTTGTATCATGTATTTTTGTATGTAAGGCAAGTTTATTTATGTAGCACATTTCAGCAACAAGGCAATTCAAAGTGCTCCTGTATGAGTCAGATAATAATTGGATTCCAATTGGTAGAAAAATGGTGTCTGAGTTAAAGGCAGAATGTGCCAAATTTAACACACAAATAAATCATAAATCAAGTCTGTCCTGTATAAATGTGTCTCTGAGTCATGACTGTCTACAATGAGGGAGAAGCTCGAGTCCCGCTGGCTGTGTTGTTGTCAGAGCCGTGTTTACATGGACGGGACGGCCGGCTCCTCCCCTTGTGTATAAAAGCTGTTTTAGTCAAGAACTAGAGAGAAGAAGAAGAACATACTCACTGATTATTTGGATGTTAGTAAGAGTTTTTAGATCACGCTCATTCTGTGTCAAGTTATGTTCAAAATGAAGCTACGAGCTAACTAAAGAGCCCAGAGCAAATGACAATTTTGTCTTCTGCTTGCGCTTAATGTTGCTTAATTATGGTGCGTTCTAATCCATAACTCCTTCATGTGGAGAGCGGAGGCTTTAGAATAGAAGAGGTGTGGCCAAAGAGCAGTTTGTTTTGGTTTCATCAAAAAGTCGAACATTCTTCCTTTAAGGGAATGGCAGGCTGTGAGTGACATTGACTTCCTCGTCTGTCACCTGAGCCTGGGAAACAGACATGTAGGATGACACAGGTCATGCTGAGCTGACAGAAACTTCACAGCGTCAACGATGTCCCTGTCAGAGTCACAGACGACCCCATCCATCTGGTTTTATATTTTAAAACTGGCTATGAAGAGTTCAGTTTAAATGAATTAATTGATGCACGTATCACTTCTTCATTTTGTTCAGAGCATCAGAGGCCTGTTCAGTTAACTTAGCATTACCTGCAGCTGTTGCAGTAACAGACAGTTGACATCACTCAGACTTCCTCCATTACAGTCTATGGTTTAACCAAGCCCCTTGTGGTCACAGCTTTACACAGATTGTAATGAAAAATAATCAGATATTGCCTTTATGTGTTGTTTGTTTGACATATGTGTTGTAACCCCACATACGCTTTTTAACATAGCAGGACTTAAGGTTGTCATGTCTTTTGATGCTTTGATACTTTTCACAGATCTTGGGCCCTATCGAACACCGGGCAGAAAGTCTCTTGGTGTGCAGCGCATGTGTCTTCATATTCCCCCTTTGACTCAGTTGTCATTATTACTCCCCGCGTTTATCTTGTTTAAAGAAAATGAACTTGAATCCCTGTCAGCACCCAGGCGTGTCTGTTTCAAAATGAGGTGTGATCAGACACAAAGCGGGCACGTTCCTATCTTGAGGACTTAGAAAACGACTTCACCTAAGACCCCCTAAAACCTGGTCTGAAGTCTAAAGTCTGTGGATCATTATGTTCCTCATATTTAGAGGACGTTTTAGAAAGATGGACATACATGTCACTCACA